AACATAGGGCTGCCCCAAGGATGGCCCGACGGCGTCACCACAACGCCGCACGCTCGACGAGGCTCATGTTGGACGCCCGAAGGCACCCAACTCCACCCCACCTTGCACGCTTTGTCGTCGCTCCGACCATCCACCATCCCGAAGGCAGCACAAGTTAGAAGGCGACATTCCATGCCCAACTAGTCTCATGTCGCACGCCCAAAGGCACCCGATTCCAACCAGCCGAACATGTTCTGGCACCACACGCGAGTCTCATGTCGCACGCCCAAAGGCACCCGATTCCAACCAGCCGAACATGTCCTGGCACCACACGCGACCTTCAAAACATAGGGCTGCCCCAAGGATGGCCCGACGGCGTCACCACAACGCCGCACGCTCGACGAGGCTCATGTTGGACGCCCGAAGGCACCCAACTCCACCCCACCTTGCACGCTTTGTCGTCCTCGACGAGGCTCATGTTGGACGCCCGAAGGCACCCAACTCCACCCCACCTTGCACGCTTTGTCGTCGTCGACGAGGCTCATGTTGGACGCCCGAAGGCACCCAACTCCACCCCACCTTGCACGCTTTGTCGTCGCTCCGACCATCCACCATCCCGAAGGCAGCACAAGTTAGAAGGCCCCACCTTGCACGCTTTGTCGTCGCTCCGACCATCCACCATCCCGAAGGCAGCACAAGTTAGAAGGCGACATTCCATGCCCAACTAGTCTCATGTCGCACGCCCAAAGGCACCCGATTCCAACCAGCCGAACATGTCCTGGCACCACACGCGAGTCTCATGTCGCACGCCCAAAGGCACCCGATTCCAACCAGCCGAACATGTCCTGGCACCACACGCGACCTTCAAAACATAGGGCTGCCCCAAGGATGGCCCGACGGCGTCACCACAACGCCGCACGCTCGACGAGGCTCATGTTGGACGCCCGAAGGCACCCAACTCCACCCCACCTTGCACGCTTTGTCGTCGTTCCGACCATCCACCATCCCGAAGGCAGCACAAGTTAGAAGGCCACATTCCATGCCCAACTAGTCTCATGTCGCACGCCCAAAGGCACCCGATTCCAACCAGCCGAACATGTTCTGGCACCACACGCCTTCAAAACATAGGGCTGCCCCAAGGATGGCCCGACGGCGTCACCACAACGCCGCACGCTCGACGAGGCTCATGTTGGACGCCCGAAGGCACCCAACTCCACCCCACCTTGCACGCTTTGTCGTCGTTCCGACCATCCACCATCCCGAAGGCAGCACAAGTTAGAAGGCCACATTCCATGCCCAACTAGTCTCATGTCGCACGCCCAAAGGCACCCGATTCCAACCAGCCGAACATGTTCTGGCACCACACGCCTTCAAAACATAGGGCTGCCCCAAGGATGGCCCGACGGCGTCACCACAACGCCGCACGCTCGACGAGGCTCATGTTGGACGCCCGAAGGCACCCAACTCCACCCCACCTTGCACGCTTTGTCGTCGTTCCGACCATCCACCATCCCGAAGGCAGCACAAGTTAGAAGGCCACATTCCATGCCCAACTAGTCTCATGTCGCACGCCCAAAGGCACCCGATTCCAACCAGCCGAACATGTTCTGGCACCACACGCCTTCAAAACATAGGGCTGCCCCAAGGATGGCCCGACGGCGTCACCACAACGCCGCACGCTCGACGAGGCTCATGTTGGACGCCCGAAGGCACCCAACTCCACCCCACCTTGCACGCTTTGTCGTCGTTCCGACCATCCACCATCCCGAAGGCAGCACAAGTTAGAAGGCCACATTCCATGCCCAACTAGTCTCATGTCGCACGCCCAAAGGCACCCGATTCCAACCAGCCGAACATGTTCTGGCACCACACGCCTTCAAAACATAGGGCTGCCCCAAGGATGGCCCGACGGCGTCACCACAACGCCGCACGCTCGACGAGGCTCATGTTGGACGCCCGAAGGCACCCAACTCCACCCCACCTTGCACGCTTTGTCGTCGTTCCGACCATCCACCATCCCGAAGGCAGCACAAGTTAGAAGGCCACATTCCATGCTCAACTGGTCTCATGTCGCACGCCCAAAGGCACCCGATTCCAACCAGCCGAACATGTTCTGGCACCACACGCCTTCAAAACATAGGGCTGCCCCAAGGATGGCCCGACGGCGTCACCACAACGCCGCACGCTCGACGAGGCTCATGTTGGACGCCCGAAGGCACCCAACTCCACCCCACCTTGCACGCTTTGTCGTCGTTCCGACCATCCACCATCCCGAAGGCAGCACAAGTTAGAAGGCCACATTCCATGCCCAACTAGTCTCATGTCGCACGCCCAAAGGCACCCGATTCCAACCAGCCGAACATGTTCTGGCACCACACGCCTTCAAAACATAGGGCTGCCCCAAGGATGGCCCGACGGCGTCACCACAACGCCGCACGCTCGACGAGGCTCATGTTGGACGCCCGAAGGCACCCAACTCCACCCCACCTTGCACGCTTTGTCGTCGTTCCGACCATCCACCATCCCGAAGGCAGCACAAGTTAGAAGGCCACATTCCATGCCCAACTAGTCTCATGTCGCACGCCCAAAGGCACCCGATTCCAACCAGCCGAACATGTTCTGGCACCACACGCCTTCAAAACATAGGGCTGCCCCAAGGATGGCCCGACGGCGTCACCACAACGCCGCACGCTCGACGAGGCTCATGTTGGACGCCCGAAGGCACCCAACTCCACCCCACCTTGCACGCTTTGTCGTCGTTCCGACCATCCACCATCCCGAAGGCAGCACAAGTTAGAAGGCCACATTCCATGCCCAACTAGTCTCATGTCGCACGCCCAAAGGCACCCGATTCCAACCAGCCGAACATGTTCTGGCACCACACGCCTTCAAAACATAGGGCTGCCCCAAGGATGGCCCGACGGCGTCACCACAACGCCGCACGCTCGACGAGGCTCATGTTGGACGCCCGAAGGCACCCAACTCCACCCCACCTTGCACGCTTTGTCGTCGTTCCGACCATCCACCATCCCGAAGGCAGCACAAGTTAGAAGGCCACATTCCATGCCCAACTAGTCTCATGTCGCACGCCCAAAGGCACCCGATTCCAACCAGCCGAACATGTTCTGGCACCACACGCCTTCAAAACATAGGGCTGCCCCAAGGATGGCCCGACGGCGTCACCACAACGCCGCACGCTCGACGAGGCTCATGTTGGACGCCCGAAGGCACCCAACTCCACCCCACCTTGCACGCTTTGTCGTCGTTCCGACCATCCACCATCCCGAAGGCAGCACAAGTTAGAAGGCCACATTCCATGCTCAACTAGTCTCATGTCGCACGCCCAAAGGCACCCGATTCCAACCAGCCGAACATGTTCTGGCACCACACGCCTTCAAAACATAGGGCTGCCCCAAGGATGGCCCGACGGCGTCACCACAACGCCGCACGCTCGACGAGGCTCATGTTGGACGCCCGAAGGCACCCAACTCCACCCCACCTTGCACGCTTTGTCGTCGTTCCGACCATCCACCATCCCGAAGGCAGCACAAGTTAGAAGGCGACATTCCATGCCCAACTAGTCTCATGTCGCACGCCCACGGTCGTTTGACTCCGCCCCACCAAGCATGTTCTGCCACCACGCAGCCTTCCGAACACAGGGCTGGCCCGAGGAAGGGAGGCATGCCACAACGACGTCCCACACTCAACGAGGTTCATGCCGCACGCCCGAAGGCACCCGGCTCCACCCCACCTTGCATGTTTCATCATCGTACC